CACACACACACACACACACACACACACACACACACACACACTGTTTAAGTATTTTCTGATAGGGAGGACAGAGTCAGAAAGCCAAGAGACCTGAAAACAGGCCAACCTTATGAATAACACTCTGTATTTTATCAAAGAAAAGAAACTATCTCATTAATAAGGGTCATAGACACACATGGGTTTCCCTATGTTAAGCTGTTACTACTGCTCCATGTGAAATTGGGATAGGTTTCTCTGCAGGAGGATTACTTCTTGAGGGAACCCTCTTTAGTACAGTTAGACTGGGTAAAAACCCCCCAGTTGGTTTAAGTATTTCTACTTTCTGGAGTTATGCATAGATCATCTGATAGGTTCTAGAGGCTGGACACCAGTTCATTCACAAATGACTCAGAGTTGCAATTATTCATGATATTATTCCATTCTAACTTAAAAGAGACTTGGAATGGCTCTGTGGAAAAGAGACCAGAGGGGCTGCTGCTTGTCTAGGCCTGCTGTGAGGTGGGTGAGGTATTGGGTGAAGCCCAGGACTGCAGAGGACTGGACAAGGTATTCCCTCAGCAAGGGCTTGCATTTACCTGCACAAACTGTTTCTGTTCCAGTGGATGCTCCTTTTCTCAGGCACCCTGCCTTTTCTAGCCACTATCCTAGTGACACTGTGAATTTGTGATCCTGACCCCGGAGGTGCTTTGGAGGCTTTACTTTTCCACCCCACTGCTGACATTTACAAGAGCCTTTCTTTTTGCGGTCACCCCCAGTTCCACCTGTGCTGTCTTTGGCCTTGAAGGAGTCGGCTTATCGGTCATCATGGGCTGCAAGTCAGATGGCGCCTCCAGGATCATTGGGATCGACCTCAATAAAGCCAAGTTTGAAAAGGCCCTGGTTGTAGGAGGCACAGAGTGCATCAGCCCCAAGGACTCTGTCAAGCCCATCAGTGAGGTGCTGTCAGAAATGACAGGCAACAGCATGGGCTATACTTTTGAAGTTATTGGGTGTCTTGAAACCATGGTGAGAAGCAAAATTCAGGGAGCCACAAAACGTACCCAAGCTATGAGATATGCATGAGATTGAGCTCATGTCCATAGCTTTATTAGGTACAGACTTAAGTATTTGTTAAGCAAAAGCTGGTAACCATGGAAGGATTTCACCTAAGAAATACAAATGTGAAGAGCAGTTCTACTTGGCAGAGCATGGTGCTATGGTAGTAAGCACATCTCAGTACCAGGGTTCCTAAGTGTTTGTCATCTTCCTTGTGTATAGGAGTTCCTGGCCAAAGTGATTCCATTTTGAGTTTTGTTTAGCAATCACAAGCTAACTCCCTGAGCAAAGGGGCAGATGCAGGGTGGAAAGACACTATTCTGATGTTGTAGTCACTCCTGCAAGTCTGACACTGACCCATACTGTCACCATTTTCTCCTGAGCTCTATCTTCCTTTATCTCAATTGCCCCAGAATATGGGCTTTTGAGCAGTATTCAATATTGGGTATGCTATTAGAGACTATTGATTTTTGATACTGTGAAGAACACTGGCCTCTGAAGTATATACTAACAACTGTGTTACACTCTAGCAAGTACTTAAACACAGCCTAATGAAGGGACATATGACCAGAAAATGGGGATGAGCCTCAGAGATACTACTGAGAGTCCTTTGTTTCACACTTCAGTATTTTAATTTTCAAACAAAAAGTTTAAACCTATACTGATTAGCTTCATTTTGTTTCCCTCAAGTGACTTATGACTTACCCAAGTGGTTGATATTGGTGAAAAAATCACAAGGATTTTCCTATGTTTTAATCCCTGGCACACTGGAGACATCACTACCCTGGCCATGCTAGTGACTGCCCAGTGTTATGAAGGAGAGATCTGTGCAGGAAGGAATGAAATGAAAGACTCGAATTTCACTGAAGATTTTAAAAGCAAGTAGAGTAGAAAAGGATGTAGACTTAAGTTAACTTCAGACTTGAAAGCCAAGCTAATTACTAGAACTATGATAGTTCCTAGGCCTGTAAGATCTCACAAGAGGCCTGAGAAGCTAAATTTATTACTTGTTTTGAACTCAGGTTGATGCCCTTGCATCCTGCCACATGAACTATGGGACCAGTGTGGTGGTGGGTGCGCCTCCTTTGGCCAAGATGCTCAACTATGACCCAATGCTGCTCTTCACTGGATGCACATGGAAGGGGTGTGTCTTTGGAGGTGAGGACAGCAGAGCCTGAGGGTGTTATGGGTTTCCATCTCGGGCTTGGTACCTGAAAGCAGCCTACTGTATCTTTCTCACATCTGACTCAGAAACCTTCCTTCAACTGGGCCTGGTGGCTCAGCCCTGTAATCCCAACACAGTGGGAGGCTGAGGCAGGAGGTTGGCAAGTTCAATCCCAGGCTTAGTGACTTAGTGAGACAGTGCCTCAGAAATTAATAAATGTGATGGGATATAGTGTTATGTTTCAATCTCTAGTATGACAGAAAAACTTTTTCTGCCAAAAAATGAGGATCAAATGAACTAAAGTAGAACCATGACCACAATAATATAAAAGATAATTATCCACTTTTCATTTTGATTTAGGGGATTATTGGTGGGCACATTTTTAGTATTAGCATCAGCAATCCACTTTCCCAAAGGTCTGAAGCAGTGATGCCAGTAGTGTTTCTATGGGATGATCAATGTTATGTTATTCTTCATACACACGAGAATATTTCTGAAAATATAGCACTAGCAAAATATCCTGACCGTAAAATAAAATAGGCAACCAAAGAGAGATTGTCACATGCTGTACAGATGGTTCCAGATCACAGCAGAATGACAAAGAGTGAGGATCAGTGGGCCAGAGCCACTGTGCTGTTCTGTGATAGGTGTCCTCCGGCCTCCCATTGTCCAGCGTCTTCATGATCTTGCACTTGCGGCTTTGGGAGCTCTTCCAACATTAGAGTCTACAGTGTAAGAGAGTAACAGCCCCTGAAGTAACTGCTAAGAGTGTAAAAGGGAGAATAATTTCTCTTTGTTTAGACAAGTATGCAATTTGGGGCTGAATGCAAAACATATTAAAGAAATGACATTAAATAAATGTAACAAAAAATAAATAAATGTAATGCAAATTATAATTGGCATTATTCAGCATTATAAGTTACCCAAATTTTGCATAAACAAGTTAGTTTAGTTTGTTTTTTAGTAACTGAGATAATTACATATTAACAGTAAAACTGGGATTTGGAACCAATAAGACCTTTGACCCACACAGTTCCTAACCTGATAGCTTTTGCTTAAAACTGGTAGCTATGAGGCCACAGATTACCTGTTCTTCTGGATTTTCCTGGGGCATTGCTGTGTGTAGTTGGTTGGTATGGATGAGGTTCCTTCCAGAAGCTCCTTAGAGGAAGTAACACTTGCAAGGAGAATGAGATTGTAGTGATACACTGGGCCTCCTCACTCTAACTATTGTTGTGAGCAGGTGTACTATGCACCCTTCAGGGAGGCTCTGCACTCAGGACAGAGAGAGCCTCTCAGTCTAGTTCAGCAATTCTATGAGCAGGTAAATGTAGGAAGTTTTGGAGGACAGAAAGTACCATGGAGCAAAGAGTGAAAGTGATAGATAGAGCTAGTACACAGGACAGGGTAGTGTGGTGAGCAGTGCCATTTTACAATGTTTGGAGACGGCTTCCCAGGCAAGGGACACAAAGGAACTGAGCTATTAAGAAATCCTGAGAAGGTACATCCCAGGGAGAGAGCAAGGCAAATGCAGGGCATGTTGGCAATTGGAAGGAGGTCTGCACGCCAGAAGAAAGCAGGCTCCAGAGCATAATAGGGACAGCGCTGGGGCTTTGAGGACAGCATGCTCTCACCCAGGGTCCCTTTCCATATTCTCCTACAGGCTGATATTGGAACACATTGCCCCAGATGCAAAAGGCACCAGCAGGGGGTACTTAGGGAGTCCTCATACTTCAGGAAGGAGAGGATGGTGGCTGAGACAAGTGACAATGCTGGCAGGAAAGGGTTAGATCCCGGATATACTTGAAGATGCAGCCAGCAGGATTTGCTGATTCACACTATGTTTTTCACTGCACTGTATGACAAGAACAGCATACAAGGCTTAGAGCCTGAGCAGCAGAAATGATGGAGAGTTCCTCACTTCCTGGGGTGGAAGGCATGGGATGGACAGGTTGGAGTGGAGTAGAGTAGGTTGGGGGGGATCAAGTTTTCACTCCTGTCAGACTTCTGAAGAGAGATGCCAGGTAAAGGCTGTAGGTATGAATCTGCAGCCCAGCTTGAGGTGTGGGCTAGAGGCATAAGCAAAGTGCTTTAAACACAGTGTGTTTTAAAATCATAAAGTTAGGGGCCAGCGATATAGGCCGGAGGCACAGTGCCTGCCTGACAAGCACAAGCCCTGAGTTTGATTCGCAGTACTACTACTACTGCTACTACTACTGCTACTTCTACTACTAACAACATAATGTCAGAGGGGATTATCCTGGGAGTATATGTAGACAAAGAGAACAAAAGGTCCACAGACTAAGCCCTGGGACCCGTTAGTTAGAGGCCTAGGATTTAGGGGAGACTCAGTAGAAACGTCCTTACTCTATGACAATATGGTACCTAGAAGCCACATGAGCAGAGAGAAAAACAGGAAGCCCCCAGCTTTAGCAGATCCACTTCATGGATCATGTCAGTCTGGGATTCAGCATGGATCACTGTGTCAAAAGAGGTCATATGATTAAGGCAAGATGTGTGGATCAGTGTTCAGGAGGCTGATCTGAGTAAGATCTCGAGAGAGGGAAGGAAAGGGGTGGAAACAGGACAAGCAGGTGACCGCTGGTCCTATAGTTTACCTGTAAGGCGGAAAACATGTGGGAGGCTGAGGAAGAAGGGGAACCAGGAAAGGCTTTCCAGCCTTTCATTCTAAAATGGGAGAAACAGAGCTCATTTGTGATGTTGAGGATGATGAAATGTGAGGGGAAATACAGGGAGAGAAGGCACAATGTAAAATAAAGCATCAAGATAATTTAGTAAAGAACAGAGGGGAAATATGTGCTTATTTGTAGGCTGGAAGAGCAGAGACGATGTACCAAAACTAGTGGCTGATTTCTTGGCAAAGAAATTTGACCTGGACCAGTTGATAACACACGTTTTACCTTTTAACAAAATCAATGAAGGGTTCGAACTGCTGTACTCAGGACAAAGGTAACTACTGTTTTGGAGATCTAGTGTCTTCCTCAAGGGAACTTTTAAAATCTAGTTTTATTTATTTATACTAGGAATCAAACTTTCCACTTTGTGCTTGCCAGGCAGGTGCTATGCCACTGAGCTATATTCCTGTTCCCAAAATCTAGAGTTTATAAATGTACATTTTCCTTCTAACTACCTAAGCTAGCTAGAATGATGTAGCTACTTACTTCTTCTTTAGAGTCTGTCATTGTCCTGTGTTTAATTTTTAAAATCCTTTCTCCTGAGGATTTTTTGTCAGCCTGATTTCATCTTGGCTATTTTCATTTAATTGTAAAGTTGCTAACTTCTTCAGTTCATACCACACAATTCCTATACATCACAGTTTTCAAAGTGGCCTTCCCAATGTGCTTTCTCCTGTTTTTTGAGACTAGTATCATTTTCTTACCATTTTCTGCTGACAAAACTAAGGTTAGGAGAGATAAATAACAATATCAGTGTCTGGCCTTGTGGAGGGCCCTGACTCGCTGCAAAGCATGTGTCCTGTTCATCACAAGCCACAGATCCTTACAGAGCTTGGCAAGCTCCAGATACACACGCGTCCTCTCATGCAGGCAGTGCTTCTGGGCCCAAGCAAGGGGAAAGGTAGAATATAAGAACTGATACAGTATTACTTAGCTCTGCCAATGTGTGCCTGGGCAGTGCACACCTGAATAGCAGCCGAAAAGCCTGTCTGTAAGGTGCACAGTGATGTCACTTGTTGGATCTATAAATATTTACCGAGCATCTGTTATGTATGTCTCAAGGATTTAGATAACACACTATTAGTAAAAAGAACTGTGCATTTACCCAAGATCTAAGCTCCCACCAACTTTCCCGAGTGCCATTTTCAATGTTGTGTCTGGTGTCTAAGGCTGGAATAGCCTGAAGAATCATGGCATTATGTACATTCAAACTGTTTTTAAGCACATAAACAATGGGCTTCATCAGAGAAACTGTACTCTTTTATTTATATAAGCAAGCTTAATAGCTTTACATGGCCAATTCAAAAATATTTGTCTTCCAAATAAATCCTTTCAGAAATTTTGCTTTCAATTTTGCCCTAATGCAGTGACCCTGAAGTGGCATGTGTGACCAGATCCTTGTTTCCTTGTGCTTCCTGAATAGCTCCATTTGAATATCCCCCTCACCCCAAGGTCACCCCAATAGCCCTTTCACCTGTTCTCATCTCAGAAAACACTATCTCTGCTTATGTATTTATGGGCTAGAAGCCACAGCACCCTGTGACCTCTTTCTCACTCTTGTCCACCACAGATGAACCTATGTGAAACACACAGGTGCCTCCCTTGTGTTCACTGCAGCCTTTCCTGCTCCTGGACCCCTCTGGGCCTTGGAACAGTGGGTTGCAGCTCCTTTGGATGTGTTAGCACAAGAGCCGGTTAAGGGTTCTGCTTCTGGGTCACTTCACCCAGCTGCCAGGCTCAGGCTTCCCCCAATATCAGTGCCTCAGCATAGTTTCAAAAGCCCTCAACACCAAATTGAAGTCTAATTTCATTATTAATATACTTAGGTAAATTTAGCTCCCAGTCTCCTGTATCTTCTCTTCTATGGTTTCAGGGATTTTTCAGATCTGTTGGGCACAGAAGGGCTAAGCATCTTGCACACCTCTTCCTGTTTGTGCCTCCTTGGCCTTGTGCACACTTTCTTCTCAACCTGAATACCCTTTCCTCTCATCAGCCCACTGTACATGTACTAATGCTTCTAGAATCAGCTCAACACCCAGTGGGGAAGCTTAGTAAGAATATTAATAGATGAAGACCTCAGGCTCCAAGGATTTCCAGGAACAGATTGTCTGATGTTTTGAAAAAGCAGAAGAAATAATTGTCAGGCTTGGGAGATAGCTCAGTAGAATAAGCACTTCCCTGGCAAGTACAATGACCTGAGTTCAATGCCTGATTCTGCAAAAAAAAAGAAATAATTGTTTAAGATTTTTTTTTTGAAAAATAGGAGTAAATCACTAAACTGCCTTGACCTTATGATATCCTGGGGAGGACTCTGTGGACCTTTCCTTCTGTGATTCCCTCCTTGGAAAATGCAGCTGTGTGTCAAATATGCTCAGAGGTAGAAGATCTTATGCACACTGAGATGCTTTATAAAGGTTTATGAGTCTTAGTAACAACTGATAATCTTATAAACACCTGGGAGCTAGCATGGGATTAAATAACAAAATTGTAACTTTATGCTGCCTCGGATTGTAAGTATATATCTTAAAAAGCATACACTTGGAGTTCTATGTTGGGCAGGGCAATTTTTCTGAGCCTTTGCTAACTGGTGTTACTTGAAGCAGACAGCATGCAAAGACATGGTCAATGTATTTTGAAAGGTAATATTCCTTGAATACATCAGCACTATTCTTCTTTAGATTTGAATGTCAATTCTTTAAAACACTCATTAAAAATTAACTTAAGTTGTGAAGTCGGTTCATTGCACTTTAAGTATTTGATTAGATTAAGAAACAAGTTGTGAAATTTAAGGGAAGTGGAAAATTTTCATTTTTTTTTTCTCCGAATGCCTTCAGGGCATGATTGGCTGGCTTGAGTTGTGGGGATTGAACCACAGCAACCTGAGCCTGACTGCTTTGATGAAGCAGCCACTTAAAGAACTGAGCTAAGGGGCAGGCCTCCAGGAAAATTTTCAATGTTTAGCTTTATTGTTAGATAACTTGGTGAAATTAAATATATTATAAGGGTACTTGAGACTGTTTTCCAGTATATATTTGTATTTTGTAAAATACACTTTATAAAGCTAGTAAAACACAAAAGCATAGCCAGAATCATGTTACAATTTTTATCATAATGTTCATCTTACTAAAGTAGAATTTCAAATTTGTAAGTCTCTAATTTACTTAATAATGACTCACTTAACAAAAGGTGTTTTAATTTTGGTATAAGTGCACCAGCAGATCTATCTACTATTTGCTTACCCATCTGTATGTAACCACATATATAAAATGTGTTAAAAGTCTTAGTACAATTAAAAGTTTTACAACATGATTTGTGGTGACATAGTTTGAAAGAAGCACTTTGAGTTTGCTACCAAGATTTTGCTGGTTGAGGATAAGTGATGAAGCACCTCAAAAACATAAGAAAATTTATCAGAAAAACAGTAAGTTGGGTGGGCATAGCAGACACTTGGAATTTCAGTAGAAGTACATATTATAAGTTAAATCACCCTGCCTTGATGATTTCAAAATGCCCTGGTAAAGAACAGTGGCTTGAATTCAAGGGGTAGACTTTTTTTTCTAGGAAAGGGTCCTTTGAACTCATTCTGTGAGGCTAGCATTACCCCGATACCAAAATCATACAATTACACAAAATGAAAAGTATAGGCCAATATTCCTCATAAACACAAATGCAAATCTTCTGAACAAGATACTAGAAAACTAAATCCAAAAGGACAAAATAGTAAGTTATCTGTGTCCTCAGTTGGCAAAAATAGTTTAGCATGTACAGACTAATAAACTTAATGCATGATATTAAGAGAATAAAGGACAAAACCACATGATAGTCTCAATTTGATAATATCATTGAGAAAGCATTTGGTAAACCTCACCTTGGTAATAAGAATAAATGTCAACAAATTTTCATGTAGGAAGGATGTACCTGAACTGAATGAAAGCCACATATGACAAAATCACAGTCAACATCATATAGAACGGGAGAAAAGCTTAAAAATGTTTTCTCCAAGATTTGAAACAAGACAAAAATGTCCACTTTCATGTTGAACACAGCACTGAAAATCTTACCAGAAAAATTACGCATTAGAAATAAAGAGCATCCAGCAGATTAAAAGAACTGCAAGCAGGCACTGGGGCTAATGGTTTGATCCTCTGGTCCTGCCGCTTCGCCCTCACCCCCAGGGAGCACTGTGATGGCAGTTGAGACTGGGCATGGTGGTGCACACCTGCAATCGCAGTACTTGGGCTGTAAACAGGTGGATCACTAAAGTCTGATCTAGTAGTGAGACCCTGAACACCCTGTAGATCTTTCCCCTCCAAAACAAACAAACAACCCAACAATTTTGGGGCCAGGGGGAATGATCAGTAGCATAAATGTTTGCCTGGCAAGCGCAAGGTGCTGAAACACCGGTTCCGGAAAACAAAACAAAACAAACAAACAAAAAATAGAAAAAGAAATAAAGAGCATCAAAATTGAAAAGGAGGAAATCAAATTGTTCTTATTACATACAAAAATATAATACTATAACTTCATTAAAATGTTGAAACAAATTTAGTAAAGTTGCAAGATACATAATTAATACATAAAAATTAGTAGTATGTCTAAATATAAATAAACTTGCTGAAAATAATTTTAGAGTCCTTTTCATAATACCTATAAAAGTAAAATACCTAAGAGTAAATTTAACCAAGGAAATTGAAGGCATCTACACTAAATTTACCAACACTGATAAAAAATTGAAGACACGGGTGGCCAAATAGCTGAATGGATTAAAGTGCCTGCAAGCAGGAGCAGGAGCCTGGGGATGGATCCCCAGGCCTGCCATGCCATCCCTGCACCAGGGCATGCTGAGATGGCAGTTGAGACTGGGCATGATGGCACATGCCTGTAATTCCAGCTCTTGGGAGGCTATAAACGGGCAGATCACTACAAGTCTGATCTAGTAGTGAGACTCTGAACACCCTGTAGACCCTGCTCTAAAATACAAAATAATAATAATAATAATAATAATAATAAATAAATAAATAAATAAATAAAAATTGAACACACGTAGAAAAATGAAAAGATACTCTATATTCATTGTTTGGAATGATTAATATAGTTAAACTGTTACACTACGTAAAGCAATCTACAGATTCAATACAATTCCCATCAAAATATTTGTGGCATTCTTCATGGAACTAGAAAAAATCTAAAGTACATATGGACCTTCTCCACAAAGAAAAAATGTTAAATAGCCAAAGTAACCCTGAGTTAAAAGAACAAAGCTGGAGTCAGCAT